AAATATTAAATTAAAAATTATAAATTTTGTCCGAATTATTCAGAATTATTCGGTATTTAAGATTTTGCTAAAAAACATCTTAAATCAGCATTTTTTTTTATGCTAAAATAAAATTTACGAAACAAAGCCTATACATTCGTTTAGAGTTATTTCATGACTAGTCGTAAATTAGGCAATATTTCTTGTAACTAGTTAAGTTAATAAAAAAATTGAATGTCTGTCAGCTTGATTCAAATTTATCACATGAGTCAATTAATGTTAAGCCACTCAAAATACACGGAACTGTGATTTTCAAAATACACGGAACTGTGATTTTCAAAATACAAGGAACTGTGATTTTCAAAATACACGGAACTGTGTATTTTCAAAATACACGGAACTGTGATTTTCAAAATACACGGAACTGTGATTTTCAAAATACACGGAACTGTGAATGCTCGATTTTCAAGATTGATAAAAATTGAAAGATTCGAAGAAAGAAAAGAAATATATATTTAGATAATTACAAATAAAAAAGCCAAAAAATATACAATGCAAAGCGTTTTTTTTTAAGCTATGTTAAGTGTTAAATGATCCAATTGGAGTTGAACATATTGCATTATTAATTATTGTCACAAAGGAACAGTTACCAGGTCACTGGTGGCTAACAATTGACAGTAACTCTAGGAAAAAGCTTCATTGAAATGTTCCGAGTATGATTGTTTTTATACGGAATTATAAAAATTGTATACTTTAAAAAAAAAAAATTTTTAATGAAGCGGCTATTTGGTTTGTTTACGAAAGTCAAAACACAGATTTCTTTAGCAAATACTGCTAAAACTTAAGAAAGGGTCAATGTTCATCTCAATTCTGGCATTTCTTATACCAAAATAAAGAAATTGGGATCTCTTTGAACAAGTTGGTAGGGTTCAGTCTAGTTGAGCTTTAATTTTCTCTAAAAATAGTGGCAAAAAGAATGAAACTCTCCAAATTCTTTATGTTCATAAAAGTTTTTTCCAAAGAACACGAAACAGTATCCCAAAACACAGATATCTTCTATTGCAAGAACTTGAAAAAACTTTTTTAAAAAGAACACTTGTCAGATTATCTTATGAGGATTGAAGTTAATGGTTAAGGATTTTTGAAAACAATTTATGGTCTTACTTACTTATGTTAATCAATGAATTGATTAATCATCTTGCCTGTCACAGAAAACTCAAAAATTACTCAAGAATTAAATAGCTTGATATACTGGAGTCAAGCGCCTGTTAATCATAGCAAGTGCAAAAATCCTAGAATCCTTCAAAAACATTAAGGCATTGCTATATTTAATCAACACAAACATTGCTATATTTAATCAACACAAACATTGTTAAATTCTAAATTTCAAACAACCTTAAAGTAGAAAATCTTTTGTACAGAATTCAATCACATTCAAGCAAACATCCCTGCTTTCATCCCACGTTCAAGCAAATATCCCTTGTTTGACGGTGGTTCTTAAAATCTTTCTAACAGCGTAGCCTTAAGAACATTTAGAAGCTTAAATACGAACCACAGCAAATGACAACAGAAATACTTTATTCAATATTCTAAGGTTAATGGAAAGGTACAAAAGAAACAAATCCCATTCTGATTGTAGAAACAATCTGTTGTAGTGCATTGTCAACTTCACAAGTAAACATTAGTAAAGTCATTAAAGAAGCCCTGTATAATGTTAAGCAATAATCATAAAAAAATAATACAATATTGGTGTTGCACAGTACATTTGAAATCAGTACATCAAACATCTTTATTTTAGTACTTTTCCCAATTTGATAACACTATTTATATAAATTAATTTTGTTTTAAAACTGCTAATTAAAAAGCTTTTTCATAGAAATCTTAAAAACTAAGTATCTACCTCGAATAAAATTCAAAGATTTTGATATTTTATCAAGTTATTCAACTATATAAGTATAACAGGATGCTCCAAAGAAATAAAAGTTTCAATAGCTGTGCTCCCACGTATTTTTCCCATCATTGTTATGATTATTAAACAGGAAAACAATTTTAATTATTTTTATTCTTTATTTTTGCCTTGCCACGCAGCAAATGAAAAGTACAACAGTATCGATAATTTTAAATTTTCCAAAATATTTAAGTAATTAATTACAAATACTATACAACAGTCCTAGAATGGTTTTTTGAGGGTTTACAGTTCGTAAAGTAAGAGTGCTTAGTTATACTACAAACAACAAGAACAGCTTCATTTTATGCTGCATCAGTCATCCATTGCGTTTGTGGCAAGTTCATCCAACTGCTATCGACATTTAAGTGCCTGAACGGCTATCGACTTCTTTGATTGCCTCAAAAGACTTTGAGCCAATCAAAGAAGTCAACAGCTGTAGAAATATTGACACTTTCTTTTGAAGTTAGCTAGTGGCAACGTTCTCATGCTTCTGAAGTTTCTGAAACGACTTGCTTCTACTTGGAGTTTAACAAGAGTGTGGAGAAAAGCGCCAATGGCTTTTCTCCACAATTTTCAGTGAGATACCGCAAATGTCTGTCATAGCTACTTTTTCTATATTTGGATCAAAACTTTTATACCAAATGAGATCATTCCATTTATGCATATTGTTTACATTTAATGATGCATCTGCATCATTAAATGATCTGCATAATAGCTTTCAGCCCAACGTACTGAAACCCATGCCTTTACAAAGAAAAAGGTTTGAACAAGAAAGTGAGATGCAACTTGTCCATTTTACCTAGTTCATACTTCAGCTGCTCGCCAAATGCATAACGAGTGTACACAGCGAGGTGTTTTTTCTCCAAAAATTAATACGGTTAGCTTGGCACTTTTCTGATAGTCTTAACAAGGCATAGTACTTTCTGATGCATCACCAGATTCAAGCACAGAAGGTAGTACACGAAAAAAAAGAAACAATTACTTCTTGCTGAAGTTTTACTCAACAGTTGCGAATGTCAAGTGATTTTTCTGTTGGTCAATAAGCAAGTGAGTCCCAAGGATGATGATAATCTTTAAATTCTGATGTATCTGAGCTGGATGTTGCACCAAACAATTTCTGTTAAACTGCACACACATTTTTTTTCAATACATGGTCTCAACAAGCAGAATAGAATATTATTTTACCTAGCAATGTCTCCAACTTGACGCAAGCCCTAACCAGCCAGAACTAAAAACTCTTCTTTCTAACCAGAGTTAGAAGCAGTCAAAAACTAGACCTATAATGGCGTTTTTAAGACTCCACTCCTGTGTTACAGCATGGAAAACAGTTGCCTTGGTCGTCCCAATGCATTCAGATATGACAGGAACACCAAGCAGTTTTCTTTCTTTGTGAGCTGGCAGTCCTGCTATGAAAACGGCAGGTCTCTCATCTCTAGATACAATTTTTCATTCCAATGAAGTGTGGCGTACTTTGGTACAGTAAGTGATGCTTTTATATGAAGAGCCGTTTCTGTTCTAATTTTTATACCTGCTCTTCTAGTAATTGAAGAGATTTTAATATTTTCATATTTTCAGACTTTTTAAATCAGTACCACCTATTGATATAACAGCAGCCCACACTACTGTGCTCTGACCAGCAGACAGAAAAGTTCGGCTTATTGGCCATTGTGGAACTTTTTGCACTCTTTAACAATTTTTTTGGAAGCCAAAGTATTGCCATGTATTTCTACTTTTCCACACTTTCTAAACTCTTCTCTTTTACATGATAGTTAAACTTCTTCTATTAAATCAACAGAACTGCTGTCAGTAATTTCCTGATTGTTGACCTGAGGGTTCACCAACCGTTGAAAACAGTTTTCTCTTGCTTTTCTTTTGATCCGCTTTCTTCCTGAAGATGACATTAGCTCTCCTTATTTTACGCTCTACTTTTGTGGTGTAGATTTTGTCATCTTCCAGAAACATCTTTTTTTGAGCATGAAGAGCACTCAAAAATTCATGATCTTTGCCTTTAATTTTTTTGGTACGAGATCTGTCATTTTCTATTATTGCCTAGGCATCTTGGTATGCTATGGAAAAGTAGTATTTTAACTCTGCCCTAAAATTCAATTCTTTTTCTTTGTTTGATTTGTACCCTTTTTGTCTTCTGCAGTGTCCTATAGTTTCATACAGATCATATATCTTTGCTTTAGTGTGTTGACGTTGCATTTCAATGATGGTTTTAGCTTACTGCTACTGAATTTCAATAACAACTTTATTTGCACAGCATCGTTAAAACTGCTCTGTTTATTGTGTTTTATAAGTTCATCTTTCAAATAAAAGAAAGAGCAAATAACATCAACTTTTGTAAAGGATATTGGCTTTCCTGTCAACCAGATATCATCATCCTTCCTCAGATTTGTGGCATAGTTGGCACTCTGATTCATTTTTGCTATTAATTAATTAGCAATCAAATACACAGTCTTAGCTAATGAAATTATCTAATGAAGTCAGCCATTTTGCCACTTATTACAAATTAATTACCGTTGCCCACAAAACTTTACAAACATCAAAATTGCTTGTTTTACGTACATTATAACATTTTGCCACGATGTAAGCAAGACTTACAGTATATATTTTCAACCAAAAATTTTCCTATTTTATTTGCATGCATAAACAAATAGGAAAAATGGCAAGGGGCAAATTTTTACAAACTTATTTTTTACTTTTGATTTCTGCAGCACCCTAATGTATAATCATCTCTCGATAGTTTTTTTTTTTTGGAACCGTCGTAAGCATTAAGCCTAATTTTTACAGACCAAGTTGTTAAATGATTGTTTTTATTTGTTTACTTTTAAATTTTTAAAAAAAATTAAACATGTTTTCAGATTTCAATGTTACGAAAGATTTCGTCATCGGAAAATCATCCAGAAGGAAAATACAAAGGCAGAATGTGTGATAATTTTAGAGAACTCCAGTTTCATCCTAGATATATGGTTTTCTGGTAATAATAGTTAAACTGTCAATAATAACATTAGCTGGCAATTTTAAAAATAGAACCAAAAAAATATTTTGGATTTAAAAAACTATTGTATTATAATTTATTGCATTTACTAGCGGTCACAAAGACGTTGACAACTTTTTAGTGTCTATGATGTCTTCAGGCATCTGACATGTCACGGCTGTTTCAAACCGAGCTTAACGGCTTCTTGTTAATTTTTGAAAATATTGACTAAAGGGGTGTTACTAAAACTTTTATAACTTTTGAAGTATAAGAGGTAATTTTGTTTTGTAAAAACAATTAAGACATCAATAAAATGTTTTACCTTATGACATTTAATGCATTAGTAAAAAAACTTCTTTTAGTTTAGAATAAATATGACATATATTGAATTTGGCTAAATTTTTGTAATTTGATGTTACTTTTTATCAAAAAAAAATTAGAAAAATATATTCCCAATAGTTATTATCAAATACACTTATTGTTTGACAATAATGAAAACAGAAAAACCTTACTTAATTATTTAAGGTTAACTAAAACAGCCTTAATCGAATTGTGAAAGCAAACCACATTTTTCGCAAAATTATGAAAAACGTCGTTATAAGGGGGGATTAGTTGTTAAATGAGTACTTTTTTTAATATAGAAGTTCTTGATTTAGAAAATTATTTTGAAACGCTGATAAAATCATTACATTACAAAATAAAGTTCTAATAATATGGTGTTAGGTAGTTAATAAATAAAAACTCATCAATTCTAATAAAATAATTCATGACCAAAATTGAGTTAAAGGTTTTGAGTTAACCTAGCTTTTGGTAGTAGAATTATTTTATGGTACTTGTATCAATAATCTCTTCTCACAAAAAATAAAGTGTTTAAATATACACAAATAGCTGATTTAAATCTTTTGATAATTCGTTTTTATTTTCATTAAAAACTGTTTTATAATTAGTTGGTCCATTGATAAGTTCTTCAAGCAGTAAACTATCTTTGAACACCCAGATGATACTAGACTCATACATAATTCATTTAAAACCAGAAGAACATTTGGTCAACTTGGCAATTGTGATAATAAAGTTTACAACTTATTAATTTATCAAGCTAAATTTTTACACCAACTTGATAAATGAGACTTATATTCCATTCTTTAACCAGAGAGGAGGTATGTAGAGCAGAGGTCCTGCAAAGGTAGAACTAACTTTTGATGATAAAAATTGAACGGAGATCTAATATATATAAAAAATGTTACATATTACATAACAAAGGATAAAACGTTTTTTGAATTAACTACATAAACATACAAAATCATATCCAACAAACATACCAGTTGCTCTGATCACAAATTAAAATAGTTAGCTATACATTTGATCCTAGACCTATCAGCTTTGCTGTGCAATTCAAAGCGTTTTAAAACAAGATGCAGCTTTTGCTCCTGATTTCTAACTGAATGCAACTGCCTTAATTCCTTATTTACGCTATTATGCAAACACTCTCCCTCCTTTTCACTCAGCAACCCAATAGTTTTATGCAATTTTACAAATAGTGGCACATTGAAAATGAGTTCATGCATTTTTCGCGTGATACTTTCTTTTGGAAAGCAAGCATGAAACTCAATAGCAAATAAATTTATATATTGATGAAGCTCAGAAATTTCGGCATCAGAAAGAAATTTTCGCTTAAAAAGAATAGGTTGCAAGTTATTAAAAACACTAAACACACGTACAAATCTATTTTTAATTGCTTCATCATCAATAACACTACAAAGTTTATAGTGGTTTCTTAATACTATTTTACAATGATTACCTACAAATACATTACCATGGTAAGCTTGTCGCTCAACTTTCATATCTTCAAGGGCCTTATAAAGAGACCTCTCATGAGTCCCCATGCTACTTATAGATATTTTTTCTAGGTCTTTACACTCTATCTGCAATCGAATATACTCAACGTCTCAAACTTCGCGCTGTGCGCGTATAAAAGAAATTTTTTCAGAAATATAAAGGTCAAGACATTCTAAATCTTCACCCTGACATACTAAACACTCATACTTCTCTATATCACACAATACATTCTTTTCTGAACCACCAATAATTTCACAAAATTGATGGAACAATTTTTGGCACGTACCACACTGCACCCAATCAATGTTACAATCATATTTAGTAATTAAACACCTGATACTAGCACACTTTTCTAGCTGTTTACAGGTTTTTTTTTTATTGGAGGAGTTTAGAGATATGCATTCCAATTCAGAAATATTTTTATCAAAAGCTAACCAACGAGTCTGTAGATTTGCAACGTCTACAAATTGATTTCCTAATAAACGTAAAGAGTCTGCTGTTTTAGAACATTCAAAGCTTTTAGCAGCCCACAATTCATTCGTTCTCACATTCTCATTATGCGACAAAGACGAAACAGCTTGACTATCCAAAGTCTTACACTCCTTCAACAATAACTTATAAAGTTTTAACACAACTCCTAACATAATATGCAAAACAGGTGGCACTACATTATCTAAAGTTATTATGGGGAAAATCACAGGAGCAATAATTGAATTATGAAACTTACCTAGAGCTCTTAGGTTTCCACTTTGTCTATCTTCACACAAGTTCTCATTGTAAGCACTTTCCAGAGATTGTATTGTCCTCCTTAAGATGTTACAATTAGCAGGTGTGTGAGGCATAGAAGCATGGTTTCTTAGAGAATTCAACTTAACTAGGTCTGTAGAACTAGGAAAGCTAGCAGCTGAACCCTGGTGTCCCAGAACATCATCGATAAAATGAAAATCTCCACCTAAGAACAACCTGACTATTTTGCCTTTTAGCTTAAAATCTGACGACTGAATTCTTTTAATGTCGTTGGCATAATGCCCGAGAACTAAGGCAATATTCTCACGACAGTCTGAACCCTGATACATACAAAATAAATGAACATCATATACAGACCCTGATGATTTAGAATTGACAACTTCAAAATGGAATTTCATATACTTCCCACCCTTATCCCCAGCAAAAAGGAGCCATACCTCTTTGCAAAAACCGACATCAGAATTGAAGTGGTCACGAACGTGCAGACTATTGAAAACCTCTTCAATATAAGTTATCAAATTCTTGACCATCAATACAGGTACTAAACAAGGTGCTTCATTCGCAGATGGATTAAGCAACATGGACTTTACAGTAACATGTTCTTTACTAACATGCATTGTCCGCATTTCTTGTTCTTGTCTTATCTTGGGCTCAGATGGGAGAATCCTTGCACCAAGATTACACAGAATACGTCTTAGCCTACGGAATTCAGCCGTGGGCATCCTTAATTGGCTCTGCAGCTCTACAGCATCAGAAACACTTAACTGCCTAACTAAACCCAACTTATTTGCAACACAATGAAACATAGACTTTTCACAAGACACAGAATCACAAAACAACATAGACAAATCACTTTCCAAATCTGAACAAGCTAATAATCGAAGGAATATAAAAGCAAGTTTAGATCGTCTAGCTGCAGCATGCCTACCTATCTTAGAATAAGATTTACCATCTCCTAACTTAATGTAAGTATATTTCTTACCAACTATTGGCTTTTTAACTGATATAGTCTGTGGATTACTTAATTTAAACCCACAGAATAATTCAGAGGAACCAATGTTGTCATAGTCTAAATAAGAATCAACGACAAATAAATCCTTATCACTGCTAGCAAAATATTTGCAAATTTGGCAACTGTTCTTGTTTATATCACTGATTTTTGCATTTTTTTTTTCAAATTTAAATTTTTTTAGCAATCTTACATTTTTGGCACGAGCAGATGCAAATTTACGGTGTGCTGTTTTTAATTTTTTTTTTTTTTTTAAAGTTGGAACTGCTCCTCCTGTTTTAGCCTAATACTCATAGTCTCTAATTGAGAACTTAATGAGTTACAATGTGCGTTGAGAGCCTTGTTTTTAGAATTTAAATATATAACTTCAGTTTCCAACTTTGATACCTGTATTTTTAAATTATCTATTTGCTCCACATTATTTTTTTCTTTAGAAATTAATTGTTCAACTTGACTACTTAGTTCCTTATTCCTATTTAAAATATAAAAATTATCTGCATCTGCTGATTTTTTTTGTTTTTTTGTTTGTGGAGCTGGAGACAGTTGCATTTTAAAAAATGCTTCGTTTTTTGAAGCTTCAAAATACTTTTTAGAATCTTTTTTTCTTTGTTTTATTTTTCGGCACATTTTATTTAACACATCAATATTAGGCATATTAAACTCAATTGGCAAAAGAAAACTTAAAAAAGTAAACAACGCTTTTGGATGAAAAACTGTTAATAAAATTGAAATTACATTGTTAGTGATCTTACTAGTGTCAATTACTCGCTTTACAAAATTAAAGTTATACTCATTTTCCCAACCATCTTCCCAACCGATGTACAGTTTCAAAATTTCCCTCTCAGTTGCATACATCACATAAATAATGATAATGATATTATAATAATAATATAATAAAAGAAATTAAATAAAATAATATTTACAAATAAATACACTAAAAATAAAAGAATTAAGCAACTTATCTGAGATTAGTCGAATATCCACGAGGAAATAATCCACGAAACTTTGCTTTATAATCTTTATTGATATAGTAATAAAATTATAATACAAACAACTTAAATAGAATAATATTGACAAATAGATGCACTAGATAAAATCGGATTAATCAACTTATCTGAAATTAGTCAAATATCCAAGAGAAATTAATCCACGAAACTTTGTTATTTATTCTATAAAATGTGTCTCGTTTGTTTTGTTTGTTTTCTTAAAATGCATCCGATAATCGTTGGGGACGTAACGATCAGAGTTTGCGTCACCGCTTTAAAATGTAAACAAGAATTCATGCAAAAAAAACTAAAAAAAATGTCGCTAAACATGCCAAGTTTGAAAACATATTTGATAACATAGCTAGAGGTACAGAAAATAATTTTTTGATTTTCTTATTCATATAAGGTTGAAGTATTACTAATTCCACAGACTTTTCAAAAATGTTATGTTTTTTATTCAAAACGAATAAAAACAAAAATATAAATGCATTAAAAACTAACTTTCTATATAAAAA